CTGGAGGGCCCAAGTTTGCCCATGCCTGCACTAGAGCTTGCAAGCTGGGAAGTCCCAATACTCCTTGCTCAGGTGCAAATCCCTTGATTTTATGTACTGTTGCCATGGCAATTAAAGTTGAATCATAGCACTATAATATTGTAGTGTGAACGAGCTCTTGATCGAAGGCACACCAGGAATATGTGCACCTAGAAGTACAGCATTTGCAAAAAGGGTTTTCACACGTAAGGTGTGGTGTGTGGGGTGGTGCAGCATAGCAAGGCAGCTGCAACTCTTTAAGTCCTCTTTTCACATCACACCTTAGCCACAAGCTCACTGGAGGCAAACCTTTGCATCTCTCTCCAACACGCTTTGCATTCATGTGTGACCAGTACTAATGTGAGACAAAAAGACGAGAAAAGCTTCTGTGTGCATGTGCTTTTTTAATGGAAAGTACATTCTGGTCAGTGTTGACTTTCCTGTTGGGCGACAGGTGGGTGAAATTGAATAATTGGTTTCAGTCTCATTAATGGGAAAATGTCCCCTATTCTGGGCATTTAGAAGGAATTTCCAACCATGCAAGCTTTCCAAGCCAGTTGGCAATGTGATCTTCATTTTGGCAACACTGTATAGGCTAGAGCAGTGGTTTTCAACCTTCCTAATGCCGCGACCCCTTAATACAGTTCCTCATGTTGTGGTGACCCCTACCATAAAATTATTTTTGTTGCTACTTCATAACTGTAATTTTGCTACTGTTATGAATCGTAATGTAAATATCTGATATGCAGGATGTATTTTCATTCACTGGAGCAAATTTGGCACAAATACCCAATACGCCCAAATTTGAATACTGGTGGGGTTGGGGGGATTAATTTTGTCATTTGGGAGTTGTAGTTGCTGGGATTTATAGTTCACCTACAATCAAAGAGCATTCTGAACTCCACCAACGATGGAATTGAACCAAACTTGGCACACAGAACTCCCATGACCAACAGAAAATATGGAAGGGTTTGGTGGGCACTGACCTTGAGTATGGGAGTTGTAGTTCACACACATCTTGGCAGGGGGTTGGACTGGATGACCCAGGAGGTCTCTTCCAACTCTATGATTCTATGATCCAGAGAGCACTGTAGACTCAAACAATGAGGAATCTGGACCAAACTTGGCATGGATACTTAATATGCTCAAATGTGAACACTGCTGGAGTTTGGGGAAAATAGATCTTGACATTTGTGAGTTGTAGTTGCTGGGATTTATAGTTCACCTACAATCAAAGAGCATTCTGAACCCCACCAATGATAGAATTGGGCCAAACTTCCCACACAGAACCCCCATGACCAACAGAAAATACTGTGTTTTCTGATGGTCTTTGGCGACCCCTCTGATACCCCCTTGTGGCCCCTCCAGGGGTTCTGACCCCCAAGTTGAGAAACACAGGGCTAGAGGCAATAGGATGTCACGTGTCTCTTGCTTTTGAATGTGATTTTGAATGAAAAACATGATCTTCTGAAGAACCTATAAATGCCTTTGTAAAGTTACTATTATTTGTGTTATATTTCTCGGAACATAAACCTGTTCTTTAAGTATAGCTATGATATTTAATTGGTCAGATAGAGCAAGTCAATGGAAAGTTCTTGATTCAAAGGCTGCCCTGATCAGACTTTTAATTAAAACTTTATTTGAGATATATAACGAATTAAAATTTACACACGACAAGCACTTTTTGAGCCCTTCCACACAGCCATATAAACCAGAATATCAAGGCAGATAATCCACGTCTGTGTAGAAGGAGCCTTTAAAAGAAGCCACCTGTGTCTGTATGAAAGGGAGCTATATGGAGATTAAACATTAATAAATATTAATTAATGAACAACCCAATTCTGTACAAGTCAACTCCAAATAATCCCACTGAGTTCAAGAGGACTTATTTCTAATTATTTATAGGATTGCAGCCTCAAAGGCCCCTTCTACACTGCCATATATAATCTACATTATATGCTTTGAACTGGATTATATGGCAGTGTAGACTCATATAATCCAGTTCAAGGCAGATTATGTTGATTTTCTGCTTTGATAATCTGGATTATATGTCCACACTGCCATATAATCCAGTTCAAAGGGGCCAAACTCTTATAATTTGTTGATTTTCCTTTAATTGGGTGGTATTTGGTAAACTTTGTTGGTTACTACATAAAGCCATGAATTGTTTGTGTAAAATTAGATATTATACTTTTCATTAGCATGGAATATTCCAAGTTGATTTTCTTGGACCAGAGCATATGTTTACAGGAAATCCTTCAGTTTTCAGGAAGGCCGCTTTGTAAAAAGATCCTGTGGAATATTTTAAAGGATGTTTGGGGCTTCGTATCCTGGTTCTGAAGCACTTGGCACAATCCCAACAAGGGTGGAATCCTCATCTTGCAAAATCAAGATTTTTTGGGGGGATGGGAGGTACAGCTATAGCTAAAATACCCTGTTATTATCCATAAGCAATGCCGGCAGGACTGAAGATCAACAGGTCCGAGGTTCGAATCTGGGGAGGGTGCGGATGAGCTCCCTCTGTTAGCTCCAGCTCCCCATACGGGGACATGAGAGAAGCCTTCCACAAGGATGGTAAAACATCTAAAACATCTGGGCGTCCCCTGAGCAATGTCCTTGCAGGTGGCCAGTTCTCTCACACCAGAAGTGACTTGCAGTTTCTAAAGTTGCTCTTGACACACACAAAAAAGCAATGGATTCAAATGGCAGTGAAAGAGATTTCACCATTAGAAGAGTTTCCTGATAGTGAGAGCTGTTTGGCAGTGAAATCAGCTGCTTCGGTGGAGCCTCCATCTCTGGGGGCTGGCCATTTGTCCAGAGTACTTTGAATGTGTGTTCATACATCCAGTGAAGGACTGGATGGCCTTTGTGGTCACTTCCAACTTTTTGATTCGATGACTATGTAGATATCCGTAACTACAAAAGCTTTGGGTTGCTGTGAGTTTTCCAGGCTGTATGGCCATTTTCCAGAAGCATTCTCTTCTGATGTTTCTAGATGTAGGCGAAACGTCAGGAGAGAATGCTTCTGGAACATGGCCATACAGCCCGGAAAACTCACAGCAACCCAGTGATTCCAGCCATGAAAGCCTTTGACAATACATACAATAGCTTTTCCAAATTCCTGTGCACATCAGGAAGTTTTAGAATCTTTGAGGATACCTCCCATAGATGCAGGCAAAATATCAGGAGAGAATGCTTCTGGAGCATGACCATAGAGCCCGGAAAACACACAACAACCCATAGTGAGCAAATTCTGGTGGTCAAAGATCCTCTCAGTGCTGTGAAAAAGGAAGACATGAGCAGGTTTAGTACTTCTTGGGAGTGTCTTACTGAAATGTGTGTCTTTATCTTCCCTTTTGATTTATGGCAAGAGGTGGTTTTGCTACAGACTACCTATAGACTACAGCAACCGGTATTTGTGGGTGATCTCCCATCCAAGTACTTACCAGTATTGACCCTACTTAGCCCTCCAGTTGTTTGGGACTCCAACTTCCAGAAGTCCTACCAGCTATTCCAATGGCCAGGAATTCTGGAAGCTGAAATCCAAAACACCTGAAGGGTCATAAGTTTGACACCAGTGCTTTAGGGTATTTGGCTCCTCACCATTGAAAGAAATTTGACTTCACCTCTGAGTGGACCCAATAGCATACTGTTAGAAGATATGTTTCTGTGCATGTAACAATCAAGCAGGAATTTCAGCAAAGTCTCTGATCTCGCTCCTTCTCCCAATCACTTAATGCATTACTACAAAAATACAAAAGATATAATCAAAAAAGAGGGGGATAAATCAGCCTAGATCTTCATTAAACTTGCATGTGCTGATTCCTGAAATATAGATGGAAATCTAGATACGATTACAATTTCAGTAGAAAGATGGTACATTTTGGCAGCTAGGAATACATGAACAGGTGATGTATGTGTTTGCTCAGTCTCCCTCCCCTTCCTTTGGATCGAACAGCCCTTCAAAACAAAGGATGTCTTCCAGTATTGGAACACAGTGTCCATATGGCCCTTCCTGAAAAGAACTGTCCTTTGTCAAATAGGTTCCAAGGCTTCCTTGCCAATGAATGGAGGGACCCCTGGCTTGACAGCAGTACATGTAAAAAGGATCTTGGAGTCATCGTGGACAAGTTCAACATGAGCCAATGTCATGTGGCAGCTAAAAAAGCCAATGGGATTTTGGCCTGCATAAATAGAAGTATAGTGTCTAGATCCAGGGAAGTCATGCTACCCCTCTATTCTGCCTTGGTCAGACCACATCTGGAATACTGTGTCCAATTCTGGGCACCACAATTGAAGGGAGATGTTGCCAAGCTGGAATGTGTCCAGAGAAGGAGGGCAACAAAATTATCAAGGGTCTGGAGAACAAGCCCTATGAGGAGCGACTTAAAGAGCTGGGCATGTTTAGCCTGCAGAAGAGAAGGCTGAGAGGAGATATGATGGCCATGTGTAAATATGTGAAGGGAAATCATAGGGAGGAGGGAGCAAGCTTGCTTTCTGCTGTATTGTCGAAGGCTTTCATGGCTGGAATCACTAGGTTCTTGTGGATTTTTTCGGGCTATAGAGCCATGCTTTCTGCTGTTCTGGAGACTAGGATGTGGAACAATGGCTTCAAACTACAGGAAAGAAGATTCCACCCGAACATTAGGAAGAACTTCCTAACTATGAGAGCTGTTTAGTAGTGGAACTCCCTGCCTCTGAGTGTGGTGGAAGGCTCCTTCTTTGAGGCTTTTAAACAGAGGCAGGATGGCCATCTGTCGGGGTGCTTTGAATGGAATTTTGCTTCTTCTTGGCAGGGGGTTGGACTGGTCTCTTCCAACTCTAGGATTCTAAGACTTTGATTCTGCATTGTCTCTTGCCTGGTCCAATTCCTATAACACACTCTGTTCATGCCTGCAATTTTCTGTCTTTGAAACCTTGATGTTTTGGTTTCTTCTTCTAACTCTGTTCTCCCCTTTTTCTATCTGTTTCTTTTTTTGCAGATAATGGAACGTGAATGAATATTTCACCTGCTGCTTCAGGAAATGAGCCTCCAAAACTCTCCTTCCCTCTCTCCCAACCCTTGTACCAGTGTCAACTGTAGTCCTCACTGGTACAGAGGATGGAAGGGTGGGCCTGCAGAGATGAGACGCACCTAGTGCTACGCAATCTCCCAGTCTGGATGTCCTTTTTCAACCAAGGCAGAAGTGATTTTAAGAACTCTCCTTCCCTTCAACGCAAGCAGATAACACATCCTTCTCTGTCATAACCACAGTCTTGGATTTTTACTCTCTAAGAGATTGCCAGCTTGCCTTCATTTAAAATCTTCTAAAATTATGTGCTAAATAAAATCTTCTGATCCAACACAATCTGATGTGTTTTCATTATTTTCAGTTCCACAAAGAAAGAATCAGTATTTGACTTTGGGTCCCAAGGGATAGGTTGTGTTTGGGACTTTGTTCAGACATGGCATGTATTAAAAATTAAAGCAGAGTACGAAAGGACAGCTAGATAACACATGGGTGTGAATGCTACGTATTAAAGCCAGGTTGGGAATCATGTAGCCCTCCAGATGTTAAAAAGCAACTTGCAATATCCCTGACCATTGGTTATGCTGGCTAGGACTAGGAAGTTAACAGCATGTAGAGAGGATGCATAATTTTACTATATGTAGGAGGAGCATAAAACCAGGGGAATGTGTCAAGAGTTTGAGAAAGTTTATTTTTTGGACTACAACTTCCAATATCCCACAGTCAACATGCCTTCTCCAGCTTACATCTAAAAGACCCAATGCATCCAAGCTCTCTGGGGGAACTTCCCAATGGATCATAATAATAATGCATTTTATTTATATTCCGCCCTTCTCTCCTGGGGGACTCAGAGCGGATTACAGCATTTACATACACAGGCAAACAGATATTGGGGAAAACAGATATTGTGTGCCTTCAAATTGTTTCCAACTTACTGTATCACTAAGATAAACCTGCCAGAGAGTTTTCTAGTGCTGAGAGTGAATGACTCACTCAAGGCCACCCAGTGGTTTCCATTTCCATTGTAGAACCAAACCATAATTTCTAGGGTCATAGTTCAATGCTCAAACCACAACACAGTGACTGTTAAGGTTGCAAAGAGAAGATATAGGGTGGACACCATGTAGAATTCTGTGCGTGAGGCAAGTCAGTTGCATAACGAAATTCTTCAGTCTAGGAGCACCCAAATATACCACAGTTTGAAACAGCATTATATGGTCAGTGTAGGCCAAAAGAATGCAGTTCAAGGAAGTTAATCTACATGATAGGAGTCCCATATATATGAGTTCCAAACTGCATTATATGGTTGTGTAGATGGAGCCTAAAGTGAGGGAACATGTAATGGCAAAAGGACAAAATTATGTAGAGAGAGATGTTTTTCTACCACTGCAGCAAGAGACCTGCCAACAAGCAGCAAAATGTATGCATCACAAAAACATTTTGGTTATTTACTGGGTTGCTGTGAGTTTTCCGGTCTGTATGGACATGTTCCAGAAACTATCTCCTGACATTTTGCTAACATCTATGGCAGGCATCCTCAGAAATTGAGGGGTTTGTTGGAAACTAACTAAGTGTTTGTTATTTAATTTAGTACTCTATTTGTACTGCCATAGGCGAAAGAGTTGCTTTAAAATGTCCACTCAAGCTACTAGATATCTTTGTCAGAAGAGGGACATCTGGGTTGCTGTAAGTTTTTTGAGCTGTATGGCCATTTTCCAGAAGCATTCTCTTCTGACACTTTGCCTGCATCTATGACAGGCATCCTCAGAGGTTGCGAGGAACATGGCCATACAGCCCAAAAAACTTACAGCAACCCAGTGATTCTGGCCATGAAAGCCTTTGACAATACATCTCTGCGGGGAGAAACTGTTCCAAGACGCATGAAAAGAGGTACATCTGTTTTCTTTTCAACCTTGGGCAGCAAAATCTTAGGTTGGTCCCGTCTCAATAATAGTACTGGAATTCAGGCTCATCTAATGGGAATTGAACTGCTGCAGCCGTTGTGAACCGCTCTGCTAATTGCATCTTAACTGCTAAAGAGGTGTTTCACAATCACTTAAACCATTCAAACACATTAACACATGTTTTGAAAGTTGGCACCGAAAAGGGCTGAGCTCACAGGTACCAAAGTTGAGTGGAGGCCAATGGCAGGCTTGGCAACTTAAGCTCCGCTCTCACACCAGCAAACTATTATATCCTTCTTCAAACATGTCCAAAGGGCGGTAGCTGTGTTAGCCCAATGCAAGCAAAACTCACAAAGAGTCTTACGGCACCTTGAAGGCTAACAAGTTTGATTTGGCACAAGCTTTCATGGGCTGCCATCCAAGAAACTTTATGCCAAAAATAACTTGTTAAACTTTCAAGGATTACAGCTCTTCCTTGCTGCTCTTCCTTTTATGTAGTCATTATTTCGTTCCCTTGTAATGTGCTGCCATCCAGTGGCCCTTTTATTATTAGCTTTTAGATACACAATACAAAACTATATGTGGTTATCCCCCAGTATTTGTAGATTTGACTTTTAAAGGTTTGATTTAAATATTTGCTTTAGGACTCTAGGTCCTCCAGTTCAATGCCGGAGGACCTGGACATTTCTGGAGATTTCCTCGATAGGAAACTATAAATCTTCCAATGCAATTCCATGATCCATAGAGATGATAGAAATTTCTAGAGATGTGTTGTCTCAGGTAAAAAAGCAATGTATTCATTTGTGTTTTTTCACTTTCCCGAAGGTCCCTAATCTCAGTGAATGTGGAAGACTGACTGTGCTTGAGATGCAGATCTGATCGAGCTGAATAGGACTTAACTTTCATGCAAATGTGGATATAATTGCAACTTCAGAGCTTATAATTTGGTGCTTGTGGTCGTTAATAGATTTATATAGCATAATTTTAAAACCCACAAGGATTACTCATATATCAAAGTCTCCATATCTTTTAAATGTAAATTTGGAGTTGAAGGAACACAATAACAATAATGTTTGAACTTGATACATTTGTATTGTTAAGGATTTAGGACTTTATCGTACCAACGTGTTATTCTGTTACAATCATGTAAATTGTGGATGCATACCAGGTTGAACATCTTCAATTTTGCACCTTTTCATTAATGCCAGTATTCAATTTTTTTGGTCCTGCAATCATATTTCTGTACATGTTCATAATCCCGCCTTTCTAAACGAGTCTGGTTCCTTATTTTTAAATTATTTTAGCATTAAAACAGCATTTATAAACAATAAAAAAGGCAAACCATAAATCTATATGTAAAATAAAAGTGAAAATATGTTTGTTTGTATGTATGGGCCTATGTTTGCATGTGTAAAACATATCCAGAGAGTCCTGTGGCTCCCACCAATGATGGATCTGGTCCAAACTTGGTACACAGATATACAGAAAACATTGGAGGAGTTTTGAGATAATTGACTCTAGACGATAGAAGTTATAGTTCACCCACATCCAGAGAGCACTGTGAACTCCGCCAGCAATGGATCTGGACCAAATTTGGCTCACATACCCACTTCGTAGTTTTTGGGGGCAATGACAGAGGACAATGCAGAGAGCACTGTGAGTCCCACAGAAGACGGAACTAACTTGGAACACATACCCACCATGACCAACTTTACATACAGGTGGTGTCTGATCCTGGATGATAGGAGCTGTAGTTCACCCACACCCAGAGAGTACTGTGAACTCTACTGGCAATTGAACTGGACCAACCTGGCACACATACCAAACATGTCCAACATAACATACTGGAGGAGTTTGGAGGGATTGACCCTGAATGATGGGAGTTGCAATTCATCCACAATCAAAAAGCACTATGAACCCAACTCACTATGGGTCTGGACCACAAATGGCACACATACTCAACATGACCAACTTTAAATACTGATGCACTTTGGGGGCAATGATAGATGGTGACGGGAGTTGTAATTTATCCATATCCCTTTTGTATTTTCAAATGGGCCAATTAATAAAATTCCAAAACAAACTATGATTACAGCACTTTAATATTTGTCATTAGTAAAGGTAAAGGTTTTCCCCTGACATGAAGTCCAGTTGTGTCTGACTCTGGGGGTTGGTGCTCATCTCCATTTCTAAGCCAAAGAGCAGTTGCTGTCCATAGACACCTCCAAGGTCATGTGGCTAGCATGACTGCATGGCGCACCGTTACCTTCCTGCCGGAGTGGTACTTATTGATCTACTCACATTTGCATGTTTTCAAACTGCTAGGTTGGCAGAAGCTGGGGCTAACAGCAGAAGCTCACACCGCTTCCCAGATTCAAACCTGCAACCTTTCAATCAGCAAGTTCAGCCGCTCAGTGGTGTAATCCACTACACCACCAGGGGCTCCTTATATTTGTCACTAGAAAATAACTAACCTGGTACCTTCATCAGGTATCTAAGCTAGTATGAAATAAATTAGAAACAGTGAGCTTTAGGCATGGTGTGGGGAGAAGAGGAGAATCCCGACCCCTGATGTGACTTTATTGCCAGTTTGCCAGAACAGAGGTGCAAGGCCCCCCCATTGGACCTAGGTAGGTGATGGGAATATTGTGGGATTGGGAGCTATTGACGCCGTATGATAGGGAACATCTCCAAAGATGAAATGTTTTAGGAACTGTTAAAGGTGACAGTTCTACCACAATGCCAGTTTGACTGCCTCATATTATAATAATTCAGATTTTCAAATCAATTTGCTTCCAATACAGATGAGCTTTCAGCAATGTATCAGTTCTGAGAAAAAGCAAAAAATACTGTACTTTATTGATGTGCTTTTAAATAATTTATAATTCAATTCCGTTTTAATATTGTAATTGTTTTAACATTAAACATTTTGCAATTTCATCTGTATCCCTTTTTAACTCTTTAAATCATGGTACGAGCATTTTCAATATCATTTTTGAGAGAAAAGTAGAAATAAATTATGAATGTAACATTCCCTATTTTTTTAAATACTATTGATACATTTCAGCATCAATCCCTTTAATTACATGCCGCCTTCTCTACAAAAGTGGGACTCGCTGTGTTCTTCCAGAAACAAAAGGGATATAAACAAAAATGGCTTTTTTATTGTATTATAACTGTGACATGACTGATTGACCTGAGGAGAAAAATGTTAGGCATCACAAAGCTGTCAAGAAAGATTTACTCTTCTTTAATAAAAGACCATACAAATCCAACAGCGATCTTATAGTGATGCCTCTATTAGAGCAACCAAAAGTCTCAAAATACAACTTCTGATGCTCTGAAGCCAGCATGATGTATTTTGTACCTGTGGGTTGGCTGTTTTGAGTCTCCTTATGGAGAGAAAAAGTGGGGTATATATAAACATTAATAATA